CCGTTGAGATTGTATTCTCCATTAATTCAATCAAAAACCTTGTGCTGAAGAAAATCATTACATCATGCGCAGGAAAATTTATAGGATAAGGCAAGAATGAGTATTGATGAAACTGATATTTTTTCCAAAAAATTAATTTGCTTTATTTATTCATAGAAATAATTTTAGGCCTTGAAGGCTTTAGCGCTTATAAGGATAGATCGCTCTTCAGAGGCATGGCCCCTAATTGAGGAAATCGAGGCAAATCTTGAAGAACTTGACGAGGGTACAATAGTAGTTACTTGTCATAGTTTCAAAGTGAGTTGCTAAACTTCTTGGTGGAAAGAGTTTTTTGGAACTTTACCTTCATTTCGTTCATAATATTTTCAACGAAGAACTCTCACTACTCAAACCAACAGCTTTCAAGTGTTACTATTGATTAGGGATAAAGTGAGGTACGTTAAGAGATCTGGTTGGCATATTAAGGCATTTAGGAAGCTTTTACGCCTGAACGAATCTGTTCTTTGTACGAGAGGATCTGTGCATCCCAACCAAAAAATGAACGCAATCTTACACAACTTTTCATGAGTTACGTGAGGATCAGGAATTACCAGCTACAAAAGAAGACGGCGCTTTCTTTGTATAAAGAGTTTCCTAGGAATCCTTATTATTTTTGGAGTGTTATGAGTGTGGTCATGCAGGTAAATCATCAAAGCAAGTATTTCTCAGCATCTTTTGTATGGAAATTAAATTTTAAAATGTTACTCCACGTATTACAATCATGCTCTGCAAGGTATGTGTCAGGAAATGGGATTTTCGTTACTTTTTCAAGTCAAAACTTTAACTCAGTCGTAACACATTTTCTTTTTGATCTGTTTTGTATTTAGTTAACCCCTTCATGATGGGTTTTTAAGAACACTTGTTTATAGGCCTTAAGCGACCCAGGTCTTGCTAAAACAATGTATTTGCCGTTGGCAGAAAAGATGATACGTAAAATGATTGATTCCAACGCTATTAAAGCGGAAGCAGGTAAATTTTTGTTTAGGTTAATTCTATGCGAGAAAACTCCTGCTTCTGGACTTTTAAGAGCAGCTTTGATGGGTCTGAACTTCCCAGATCTGTTGTTTTAGCGTTTTTTTCTTCATTTGTTATTATTAAAATTTTGCTTCGTTGTCATTTCGTCTTTTAAATCAATTTTCTGGTAGTGCTTGCTTTAGATCAGTTAAGTAATGTTTGTATTTTTTCTCAAGTTAAAATTTAATTCTTCTTGATCTCAAATTTGATGCCTACTTCATTCGTTGTTTTTTCCAGAGTGTGACTTATACGCACTGGTATTGCAAAAGTCTGGAAAATACGAAGAATCCGCTAATTTTTTAGAAAGTTGGTTTATCCTTTTTCGTTTGCAACAACTTTTATTAGTAACTTCTTTTTCCCAGTAGTACAAGACGCGCCTCTAAATGCGTTAATCATCCAAGACAAATCAAGCGATTAAATTTAGTCAGTTTTGCAACTTTTGAAGCCTTGATTTTGGGTTTTTTATTATAAATTGTTGTTTAATAATGGCTGCTTTTTTGGACATTCATGAACTTCTATTATCGCGAAACTTCTAATCTTTGGCAGAATATTCTAGTTTGGTATCATTTGTACACCAAATAGTTTGTTGACTGTTTTGCGCTTAAATATTTACTAAAACAGGTTTTAATTTTATTTTTTTCATGCGCAAGACATTATAGAATTGGGAAGAAATGAATTCTGCGTTCACTTGCTTTTTGTTTCAGTACTTTCTACTTTTTTAATACCATTTCTGATAATGATACAGACAATTGGTGGACAACAGTTTAGGAGCAGTAAAGATTAGCTATTAGAAAAATTAATTTTATTCCAAAATTAACGAAAACGACTCAGAAACTGAAAATTGTAGTTGAAGAATAGGGTGCGAAAATTGGTGAAAGGGTTAGCTCTGCTATCATACGGAATTTTATTTTTCTGGGTAGATTGCTGTGCGTAAATGAAGTTGTCATTTTTATTATTCCTTGGCTCGTGTTTAGGAACTTTTAAATGTTTGGCATTTAAGTTTCAGTAGTTATGTTTTTTATTTAGGGACCTGGTCAGTTTTGCATGAAAAACATTACCAATTCTTTTAGATGATCCTTTATACAAACGCTATAGTCAACAACCTAAGAACCTGCTTCTTTACCGGATATTGTATCTGCATATGGTGGCAAAGAATTATTTGGTTGTTTTTGAGAAGTGTTATCAGATTATTGATGAAATGTAAGATTTTGATGATGTTTCAGTGATATGTACTAAAGATTTAAAGGTTTAGCTAAAAAAAATGTTTACTTATTTTGATTTTTTTCGATTGAAAATTTAGGGCTGATGATTGGCATATATGGGAAGGGATGCAGAATGCTGCGTTTCAAAGGATGCAGGAGGAGACTTGCACGAAGGAGGAAAAAGAGATGTGAGTTTTTTTATGACGAGACATTGTTTGGAAAAGAAATTTGTGTTTAATCTAGGTTTTTAAATTAAAAATAACTTAAAACGGTTTAGGCTCGTTGAAAGGATGGTCGAAAAGGTATCATTTATAATTAATAGTAATATAGTTTTTGATGGAAAGCGACGACTACGCGGTCCCTATATTGCAAGGCTGGCGTTATTAATGAGGCTTTTAGAGAACCGTGTTATTACGGCTGCTGAGTTATCTACCCACGAACTGGGTAATTCCTTCCATAAAATTACGTTTTTGTTGTATCATTGAAAGGATAACTTTGTGTTTTCGTTTTTTTTCACATCTTGTCGCCGCTGCCATCGTTTAAGATATTTTGCAGGGGATCCCGTGAAACTTTTACTAGATTATATTCATATGTTTTACGCACTACCTTGTTGTTTTTGTGATGTTAGTGTATTTGTTACGCTTTTGAGCAAAGAGCAGATTGCCACTTTTTTGGAGAAGGTACTGCAGTCGGTGAGTATGGTGCGGAAAAAACACATTGTCGCTGATGATGGCGTAAGCTTCAATGGGTTTTTATTTTAAAGATGCTTTTTATGAGTGATTCGGCTATATTTTTGAATTACGCCCTTTTTAAACTTAAAAAACCTTCAGGGCGACGAGAAACTTAAAAAGCCTGAGCCTTTGAAATGGTTTGAAATATTGTATCATCGAATGCGGAGGGCAGTTGGTGATCTTGATCATATGCCTCCTCAAAGCAAAAGGTTGTTGGCTTCCGAATTAACAAGACTTATGGAATCCAGTAAAGACTCCTCATTGGCATTTGCTGCTTATGCCCAACTAATATCCTATTTGTTTTGGGATTTGTATACTAAGCATGGTAGGTCAAGTTTTACCATACTGTTTTTTAGTAACTGCTGCAGAGTAGCGCTTAATTTTCAGTTTCTTTTTGCTGCTTTTTTGTGGCTCTCTTATTTAATTTTTTTGGGGATCTGCACTTTGAAAACCGCTTGCGTTTTGTAACTTTCTTCGCCAAGAACTTATGTACCTCATTATTCAACATAGGTAGCTAAGTGTTACTTGAAATACTATTAAATTGCATAGTCCATTAATATAGTCCCTTTGCATAGTCCCTTTAATATACTCCAGATAGGTAACATAATACCGAAGTAGTACGTTGAAAAGTCAGCAAATTCTAAAAAAAATTTACTCATATTTATTATCAGTAACCGATACCAGTGTGGACAAAAACTATTTCTCGTTTTAGACGATGCATGTGCACTATTCGAGATGATTCTTTTTTTGGAATCTGTGCAGTCAGTTAGTCCTGATTATACTTGTCGTTTGATGCTGTGTCGAGCGTATGGTTTAATTGGAGCAGTTAACCAAGTGCAAAGGCTCTTACAGTTGCTAGATATAAAATATGTACAAAGAGATACTTTGGGTATGAT